CCTCGGTCTTTCTACAGTTAGTTGGTGCTTAGAAACATTAAATAACAAATCCTCACAGTGCTTCTATAAAATATGAACCTAAGTATCACTGGTATTTCAGAGATGGGGACAGGGAGATGGAAAAGAGAAGGAGCTCCCATCTCAGTCAGGATTAGCACGCCAGTATCTCGAATCTCAGACTAATGCTATAGCACACGCTGATGCACTCTTGCTTGATTCATTCAGTAACTTCCAAAAGTATCCCCCTGCCTGCCAGCCCACACTTCCCCCTACTAAAGCATTTAGTAAAAGTATTTCGGAAGCAACTTGATGACATGAGTGCCTGAGAGCCAAAGGTCCATCTCCAAAACTGGCGTAGGCACTCGGAGGCTGTCCTTTCCAGCCACAGTAGGTACCCTCAGCTGAATCTCCTGTCACCGAAGCGCTTCAGGACACAGGGCTTATCCTACAGATGACGTGACTTTTCCTTTCAGCTGGGAGCCCACCTGCCTCCGCTCAGCCCAGGAGACCACCACGGTCCTTCAATCACATGCTCTCCAGCTCTCACCAGCCAAATCAATCTGTCCCCAGCTGAAATCACTCGTAATTTTGTAATTGGCTCCAATAGGACACAGATTAGACCTCTGGCTGTATTGCTCAGTTTCATTTGACGCTACTTTCTTAATAGAGGTGGACTTCTGCTCCCTTGATAAGCAGCAGTCAAGTCTGGTGTGCCTGTGTAACAACACCTGACAGCTGTTCAACAGCAGTCACTAGACAATGTCAGCGTGGACTCGGGAGACAACCGAACCTCAACCAAAGTGCACCCACTGCCACCGGATCTCACCATCAAACGCGGCCAAAAATACCAACATCCCTCTCATCCATGGCGGCTCACGGACAGCGTGGCTCAGACACACAGCTCGCTCTATTGCATTGTCACGTGTTCCCCTTTACTCACTGCAGTGTCGAAAATGCAAAAATTCCCAATAACGCAGTGGAAAAAACCTACAGAGAGGGACAAGGGTGCACGCAGAAGGCCCAGGTGGGGCAATACGTGACCCAGCAAAGCACCTGATCTTGCAGAGGCAGCCTGCTAGCAGAGACCACTAAACACGAGAGCTGAAAGGGGAAGCGTGCTGAGCGCGGGCTTCCCCGCGGTGCCTGCCGAGGCACCGGAGGCTGGAAGGAAAACCCTCCGGCGGGGGGGAACAGGGGGAAGTGAAGTGCGCTGGGTGATGCTTGCTGGGTTCACCTAGGAGCATGCTCCCCGCCACCTCCAGCTGCACGGCCACGGAGACACTCCTCTCTCCCTCCAGGTCTGGGAAATGGATGCTGAGGGAAAACTTTTTTTTGGGAAAAATGCAGTTTTGGGCCAGTCAAAATGACATGAAAATATGGATTACATTTCTCAAATAGTTTCAAATGTCTTTAGCATCAATGTTTTTCATTTCAAATTTCTGGAAAATTTGCTTCTTTTAATACTCCAAAACATATTCACGTTCTTGTTGCGTGTTAGGAAATGTTTTATTTTGGATCAAATGGAATGTTTTGGAATGTTTTGTTTGACCCAAACATGTATTTTTTTCATTTGGCAAGAAAACACCAAGCATTTTTGTTGCAAGTTGACCCAAAATTGTCCTTCCCAACATCAAAGCAAAAATTCTGTTACTGAAGTGGAGGTCTGCTGAAGCATCCTGTATGTCCATCCGTACCAGTATCGCATCTACGACAATGGCCAGTAGCAGGTTCTTTGGGAAAGGGTATAGGAACCAGGCACACCTCCAGCGATGCTTTCTCTAGTACAGCTTTACTCTGCTGGAGGGCTTCATGAGCAAGAAGAGGTCTGCATCCTTGTTTCTCCTGAACTTTGATGAACTTTCTTCCATGAAGTTTTCTAATAACCTCCTGAACCTATTTTGGCCTTCAGAGTTTCCTGCAGCAATGGGTTGCACAGTTTCAGGTGGAAAAAACTACTTTTTTTTTTTGTTTTAAATTTGTTTCTTCATAATTTCACTCGTGTGTCGTGTGAACAAGCTGATTGTTCCCTGTTCACCATCTCCTTTGCCATCCACCACACTCCTTCCCCTTGGTATCCTCAGGGCTCCACTCGGTCTTGTAGGACCACTGCAGAACTCTACGGAGAGGTAAAATATGCTGCTCATGCAGAGAAAATAATTGGTATTTTTCACTCAGTTCTCACTTTACTAACAAAATATTTATTATACACTTGAGGAGAGTCAGATGGTTGCTGTCTTGAATGCTCACGCATTGGCTTACAAACCTGCTACCTCCAGAGGATTGTGTGAGCTCTACAGAAGAGCAGTATTCAGTGCGACCAGTACTTCGGCCTGTCTTTGTGTCTCATTCCTGAAGCAAATGCCGGTCTTTGATTCTGCTGCTGCTTGGATACGCATCCATTCACGTCTGTAGTACCATTCCAGGAGCGGTTGTGTTTTGAATGAGCGCAACATTTTTCAAAGAAAGGTTTCAAAGGCTTTACACTCATTTTTAAAACAACATAACCTGAGTACTCCAAAAGACTTTTTATAGACAGGATAGATGAGACCCAAAGAATTACCTGGCTTGCTGGAGGCCCTACATACAGCTTAGCAGCAGCACTGGAATAGCACGCAAAGTGTTTAATTTTCAACGCCTAGATTAGCACAACACTTCGCTTAAAGCGACAGGCTGATCCCTATCAGATCAAACAGCTGAGTACAATGATTTACAGCACCTTTGTCATCAGATTTTTTTCACTGTTTTTCTGCTGGCTTTGGGGAGGTGGCCCACTGTCGCTTTTATAGCTAACACCTACAGTTTCCCACAAAGCCTTCCCTCAACTGATATTTTCCATTGTCACATTCAGCTTTTCCACTGACAGAAAGTCAAAAAAATAATAGTGCTGAGAAATGCAAGTAACACGTGACCTCTCTACCTGTCAAGGCGTCTGAAAGAGGAACCTTTCCTTTGCTAAACAGCAGATGCCATGGTAGCAGGATGTGGTGAGCTGTTACACCACATTTTAGTTTAATAAGGAGTTTTTTCTTCTTGCATTTAATTTTGCTTTAAAATGCCCATGCAATGGAAATTTTTGCTTTACTAATTAGCAACATTAGTGTCTTACCGATGCAACAGTTTGGGTTCCTGCATTGAACAGGATAACCAGATATATCTGAATAAACGTGGGTTCCATATATAGATGTGAACTTCATAGGAAACGAAATATTTTTAACATTTGGTGGCTGTACATGGATTCCATCAACTGGCAAAACTTTAGACTTCTGCAGATATCTGCTTTCCTTGTATCTGACTACTAATATGGATAACGTTGTGGCCCTTTGTTTTAATAAAAAAGCTGTTTTTCTGAGACAAAGTTCTGCCTTCCAGCTCAGACATTGATCCCACTCAGATCAAAGGCTGCCCAGGGATGTGGAGGAGTCACCATCCCTGGAGGTGTTTAAAAAATGTGTAAATATGGCACTTTGGGATACAATTTAGCAGGCACGGTGGTGGTGGGTTGATGGTTGGACTTGATGAACTTAGAGATCTTTTCCAACCTATAATTCCATGATTCTATGAAAGAAGTTACAAGGTCAGTGGTGCAGGGAGTGGGGAGGAGGCACATCCAGGGGGTTTCCACAACTGGGAAGCTCTTCAGGGCTACAAATACAAGATCTTGGCAAACTTTACACTCCTAAAGGCAAATGTCCCCAAGAGTCTGAAAAAATGGAAAGTGAGAGGACAGCCATGGTCAAACCCACAATTATGAAGAGCTGAGTCTACAGTTTTGGAAGGGAACAATGGCACTTTGAAAACATATCCATCTCTGTTCTCTTTGTTAGCGGTAACATTAAGGCTTCAGTTTCTGGCTGTGTCAAGCCACTGTCTATTCACACACCACACACTGTGGAAGTCAACAAACGTCTTTCCATTGACTTCAATCCACTTCAGCAGCGGCCCAGAAAGGGCCTTCTGTGCAGAAGGAGACTGAGTAGTGGAGCTGTGGGTTGTATGTACTGCTGTGCCCCTTACCAATAGCACGTTTCTCTTCCACAAGCAAGCTCTGTGGCTCTCCGCTCCACTCTTTTTTAAGGGGTGTGATGGAGTTGAAGCAAAAGGGCACACAGAGGTTTTTGTGCAGAGCTGACACCTTGTGATTCACTGGATGTGTCAGTGTCCTTGTTCCTGCATAGTGACAGCGTCAGCTCGGTTCCTTCAGGATGGTTTTTGGTTTCCTTATCAATGGGAAGAGCTACATGGCGTGTCCCAAGACATCTAGGCCTTCAGGGTCACATCAAGCTTTTTTCCACAGCAGACTAACCAACCTTTGCTTGTTACCTCATGTCCACCTGTGACCACTGGGGATCATCATCTCTACTATGGCGCAGGAGGTTCAGATGCCATAATTCTCTCTTGCCAAAAAGGAACAAAAGCAACCTGCTCTGACTGGTGCACGCGTCATGGAAAATACAAGTAATACCAGCTGCATCTTTCAAGCTACACGTGTGAAAAGTCTGTGAGAAAGTATGACCGGATTCTGCTGTGTCCGGACAGTAATGCTTCATCTTTGAGACGGGTGTCACTGCCCAAGCAATGCGGTGCCACGTTTGGATACCACGTTTGGACCATGTTTGACTCTGGTCAAACCGCACAGCTACGCGTCACGTTCGAGCAATCTCCAGCAAAGAGCAGCACTCCTGAAAGCCAAACTGCCTCAGTTCGGCTCATCGTTTGTGCCTTGCAGCAGGATTCACTAGCTCAGGTGAAGCCCTACGTCGGTACAACTACAGCGACACCCAGGCCAGGGTTCCCTCCGCACGCCTCACTACGCAGCGCGGACGTGCCCCTGAGTGCTCGGAACTTCCACAGTCAGCGGCAGCTCGCTGCTCACAAGCACGGGGGAGCGGGGACTGCGTTCTCTCCACCAGGTACAGCTCTGACCATGCTGTTCAGCATAGGAACAGGGACAGGGAAACCCAGCTCTGGAGTGAGTCTATGAGTTTGTCACCGACACCACGCTACCTGTAGTAATGCTTCATGGTATGACATTCGCTTTGCTGTCTATAATTGCTGCCCTCGAATTTTTCCAGCAGTGATGCCTCATCTTGCTCCATCAGGCTCCTGCGCTCTCGTATGTCCTTCATTTCGGATGAAATGCCACCTATTAGCAACACTGAAGAGGAATTCAAAGTTGCAAATGAATGCAGAGGAAGCAGAAATACAGGAGGAAAAAAAGTTTTCCCTTATCTCCATGTACAGATTTTGTTTAAAGAGAAAAATGACTAAATATAGACACATACACAGCAAGTAAAGAAATGAAGCTCCTGCTATAAACTCCATCACATGGGTAAAATCCTACAGTTTTTATCAGGGTACCTACTTCCTCACTATTAATAAGGAGCACTCCTTTCTGACATATGAAAGCTGCAACAAACAACATAGAATTATTACCTAAATCATTGAAAAAAATAGGGCCATCTTAGAGAAAATCTTTTTTCAAAGCTAGTAAACGTTGTCCTGTGGGTAAGAAAAAACACCAGAAAACAGTGATACAAATTCCTGAGGTAGCAGCCTGTAATGTGAAACTATAGATCACATTAAAGCTTACTGAATTAAAAACCAAACAAAACAAGTCTCGTGAAGCAATGGAAAATATAACTTCACACGTTCCACAGAGAAGTCAGATCTTGTATTACCTCAGGTGTCCTGGATGTGTTTAAACCTTAAGTTTATTTTTATCTGTTTAATCATAATAAGCCACCACCACAGGGCATGCTATTTTTGGAGGCAGCGAACAGGACAGTGGAGCAAGGGAGTGACAACAAGTAGCAGGTTTTAATAAAACATGATCCGCCCATACGAACGTCAGCTTGGCACGACGGATGGCATTGTCGCGCATGGCAGCCACTAACACGGAGTCGTTTTCCTACCTGCTCTACCCTCTGCCTTATTTAGCTCAACAACTCCGAATGATGCAGAATCTCCCACGGCGGCTGCGCTGCGGAGCGCTAACGGGGAAGGTTTCTCGCTGCAGTGCGATGACAGCACCGTGTGGCAGTAATTTAACTGGGGCTCTTGACGAGGTGCCCAGACTAAATGAGTCCCATCCTACTGCACCAGAACTCCTGGGTTTGGATTTTTTTCATCCCTCCCACATGCAGCCCTGGGAACACCCTGCGTCTCTTGCTCTGCAAACACTTAGGGATGAATTCCCCTGCTGCCGGGAATTAGCGCAGGAATCAGCAGAGCCGCAGTGACTCCCAGCACACTGGGGTCTAGACTTTGGCTCGTTTTTACTCTCCGTCTGAGGGTGGCTGCGCTCAACCTGGTTTGGCTTTTATGCCAAAGAATCAAAGTGTCAACAGGAACATTCAGCAGCCCTCACCGAGGCCAACCTCGCCTGGAGCTGGGGTTTGGGCTGCGCAGAGGCTGCAGGGTCTGCCCTGGTATGATGCAAGCCACGTCTGACACACACATACACACACGCGTGAGGGTAGGGCTGGGCAACGGACAAATAAGCCGCATTTTAACCAAAATTATGTGTTTACGTTCCTAAGAGCATCTGTAACGGAAACAAAACAGACATATTTTACGTTTCACACAAAATTTCCACATGACAGAAGAACTACGCAAATGCTACCTAAGGCAGCCAAAACCCGAGGTCGGTACTGCTGGAAGCTTTGTGAGAACCAGTTTCAGGGATAAGAGCGTGCACCGCTTTGACAGAGACAACAGAAATTTGCCCCCGCCGTAAGAAATACAGTGATTCAAAGTGATCCCGGCGATCAGTTTTACTTTCCAGCTTAGCGCCCAAAAGTAAAATAGTGCTGTCAGACCCTGGCATTCAAAACTCATCAATCATGCCCTGAAGCATGACAAGAGTGGATTCAAAACCGAAAAAAATCTAAAGCGATTGTGCGTTTGCCTGTTTTTTAGCCTCCAGGCATCTCTGGCAGTATTTATTAAACCCTGAAAGTAACAGAAATGAAACTTCCTTTTTTCCTTTTTGCTCTCGTATTTGTGATCCACTCCCACAAGGTTTACTGTACCTCACAACTAGTTGGCTGCGGCGTGGGCAACACTTAAGACACAAGGCTCTCGACGCATCCCGCGGCTAGAAGAGCAAGGTTAAAGCCACCTGCCAGCCCCAAGGGCTGGCAGCTCCCGAAGCTTACGGGCAGTCAGTAGGAGAGGGGGAGTGGGTCTGGACTGTGCCGCAAAGCTCTGAGCCTGACACTGGTGGCTGCTACTTGGGGACCTCCTGCCCCGCCAAAGCAGCATCCCATGCACGCATCCAGCCCAGCACCGGCGACTTCTGCCAGCAGCTGGCACCAGCCTTCTGGACCTCACACAGCAATCTGTACCAGGCCAGATGTTTCCACGTAACACAAACAGGGATTTCTCCAAATGCTGGAAATGTGACAGATTAGCTTCAGAAAAAAAAAATTCTGGGGGTACAGACGGAAAAAGGGGAGCACGATTGGGTCCACACTCTCTGTGACTTACTGATTTCAGAGCTTACAAAAAGCCAAGTGAGACTGAATTTCTCTGTCGATTATACAATTATTAATCTTTTCAGAAGCTTTTCTAACATTACACATAATGAGCAATTCATCAAAGCATATTAGGTGCCACAGAAGTTACATTCAATATAAAGGGGTCATTAAGTTTCTTGTAATTGCACATTATTGAAGCTTTTGTTAGTTCTAAATCAAATCAATGGGATGTGCACGTATGCTCTTTAATTGACTTTATGTAATAATAGTGTGGCCCGTAGTGATCATCTGGAATCCTCCAAAATGAGCCACCTTGCGCTGCTGTTCTTAAAAAAACAGCTCATGTGCAGCTGGGCATATCAAATAAAGCAAAGAAATGAATGGAAGAAAGAAAGAAGCACCTTGGGTCACACAGGAGTATTGGCTGAGTGCCTTTTTTGTTCCACAGCAGAGAATGGCCAAGAGACTCAGCTCTCCTTTCACTCCACCAGCCTCAAGGCCTGACGGACTTGAGCAGGAGTAACGTTGGCCTCAACGTTAAGTGTCCTGGAGATAGGTTAAAATAGGGTCTATCTGATCTTTTTCTCAGCAAGGAGTGGTTTTCGCTTTTTTAAATGGACCCTACTTGCCCTATTATCATCACCATCATCAACACCTCTTTCTTTCATAGCCCTTTTCGTCAGAAAACCTCAAAGTGCGTGCTAAACAGGAAAGATCAATGCTGTTATTCACATCATCTATCAAAGAGCGCACCAAGGCAGGGACAACACTAGGACGCTGCTGTGTATACAACGCACGATGTGCCTACATGCTGCTTTGGGGGGTGACCATTGCTGGGCCACATTTCCCACCCAGGCTGCGGCGAAGGCTGAGCTTCGTTTGCTAACCCCTAATTCACAGGGTCTTTGCTCAGGCAGGTAAAATGATGGCCATGAGATGACTCAGTGAACGGCCACATGCTGCTTGATGGAAGAGAGAGGCTGGGTGGGGCTAACAAAATTTTTAATGTGTTTGATAAGGGAAAAGGAATCCACCTACGAGCCTGCTGGGCAAGGCTGCGCTAGCTGGGGGAAATCCTTAGGTGGTAGAACACAGCTGCTGACCAGCAGCAGGCACAGAAGCAGAGCTAGCCCTGGGAATCTGCACCGGTGGCTGCGAACAATCATCATGCGACATGCTTGTGGCATGATGACCTGGCCACCACCATAATGCGAGCTGTATGTAATGCCACAGGATTTTACTTAAACCATGGCAGCATCTGTTGCTGAAGAACGCTGCAGTTTAAAGACAAATGCACATCCCCTCCGCTGCAGCTCCTCGGAGGAAAGCACTGGAAGTGGTTAATGACACCCTTGTGTTGGTTTTGCACCACACTATATTAGGTAAAGGCCTTTTCATGACTAAAGTCCCATCCAGTGTGGCTGGGAAGGTTTGATCCAACGGATGATTTAGTGGAGCCACACTGGAGACATACCAGTGCAAGCTGGGCCATGGTGGGGAAACCACCAGCTGGGTGTTATTAGGTGCTCTCCCCAGCACAGAAGATGTAGCTGTGAAAGCCATCACATCTAGACAGTTGCTGGACTCCAGTACTCCTCGGATGCTAAAACCACTGATAGCAAGCATCTCGAATTAGAGCAGCTGGAAGAATACTCTGATTTGTACATGGTCCCAGTGCGACAGAGCTGCAAACACGGCAAAATGTCTTTTCCTCTTTTCCCCCCTCCCACATGCTGTGTTAAGCTGCAGAATGGCTCCTTAGGCTGGACTGACAGAGCAATGTCAACAGAAAAACCACCAGATACGGCTGCAAAAATTCAGTAAGAATCACAACCTGGCTCCCAGGGAAGGAGAAACTTTCCCCCTTGGAGCCCAGTCCTTGACACAAGAACCATGCTGAAGCTCAGCGCTCTCCACTAGAGATGACATTTGTTCTGCTCCAAGAGCGAAGCACAGCAAACCTGCAGCCAGAACTAGGAAAAAGGCACTTGAGCAACACAGACGTACAACACTCGTCTCTCAAAGACCTGAAATTTTATTCAAAATGTTTGCATTGCACTTTCCAAACAACCACTCGCAACGCGCGACAGCCTTCTTTTCTGCCTCTTTTTGAGTACCTGGACTCCAAAACCCTCGCTTCTCGATAGCTGAGAAATGACAGGGTGCTTCCATGGCCTGGGTTGTGATCTGGCAGCACATCCAAACTCCCG